CCATTTCAAGAACTTATTACAGCAAAAAATGATCTGACACTTAAAGACGCTTATCACATTTTACAACGTAGTAAAAAAGGTTTGTTAATTTTCTTATTCTAATGGACAAAATCGAATTTTCTTCGGGATAGGGAGAAGCCTAGTTAATGTCATTTTTGAAACTCCTCCGTGATAAACGAAAGTAGTAACAATATGAAAAAATAGTTCTGATTACCTCAAATCTCGAAAGACAAAATGTATAGAAAAAAATACAATCACGAACTATAAAACACGAAAAACAACATTACTAATCTCTCAGTTTATTTCATACACATATCTTTTATCACTGAAATACTGTAATTTATATTTTATTAATGCACCCATATTGTTCTACATTCATAAATGATGTATCTTCGTCATAGTTGTACGTGTTCTACATATCACACGAGTTACATACATTCAATTATTTATCTAGGGGTATTTTTCAAAACATAGTTTTCATTTACTTCAGATCTATACTTCAATTAAGACAATAACGGATATATTTTTTTCATAGTTTTTACAGTAGAAGTCCATAGATTGTTATATCAATTTTAAAACATAAAAATCGAGTAGATTTAATAGTCCTATTATTAATACAGTATTCTAGTAACTAAAATTATTAGTTAGGTTTATCTAATATTTTTTCTATTTTAGGTAAATTACCTATCATTGATTCCGATGGTAATCTTGTTTCATTAATTGCTCGTACTGATTTGGAAAAAAATCGAGATTATCCATTAGCATCAAAAGATAATCGTCGACAATTATTATGTGGAGCTGCTATAGGTACACGAAAAGAAGATGAAAAACGTCTTGAAGCTCTCGTACAAGCCGGTGTTGATGTTATTGTACTGGATTCATCTCAAGGAAATTCTATTTACCAAATTGATATGATAAAACGTATAAAAAAATTATATTCACATATACAAGTTATTGCTGGAAATGTTGTAACACAAGCTCAAGCAAAAAATTTAATTGATGCTGGTGCTGATGCACTTCGTGTTGGTATGGGTAGTGGATCAATTTGTATAACACAAGAAGTTATGGCTGTTGGCCGTGCTCAAGCAACAGCTGTATTTAAAGTAGCTGAATATGCCCGTCAATTTGATGTACCAATTATTGCTGATGGAGGAATTTCATGTGTTGGACATATTGTTAAAGCATTAACATTAGGAGCTTCTAGTATTATGATGGGTTCTTTATTAGCTGGTACACATGAATCACCCGGTGAATATTATTATCAAGATGGAGTTCGTCTTAAGAAATGTATGAAAAAAAATTTATCTAATCGATTCTCTATGTCTTATTTCTTTTTTTTGTAAAATTAGATCGTGGTATGGGTAGTCTTGAAGCAATGAATGCATGCCAAGAATTATCTGCTGCAAGTCGATATTATTCTGAAACTGATCATATTAAAGTTGCTCAAGGTGTTTCAGGAAGTGTTGTAGATAAAGGTAGTATTCATCGATTTATTGGTGGTTATCTTTATACAGGTATACAGAAATCACTTCAAGATATCGGTTGTCAATCTATTGAACAATTACATAAAGAATCTCATCAAGGAATTCTTAAAGTTGAAAAACGTACAGCATCAGCTCAGGTTGAAGGTGGCGTACATAATTTACATTCATATGAAAAAAGACTTTTCTAAATAGAAAAGGAATGTGTGTTTTTTTTTATGTTATCAGGTGATGAATATTTACATTCTATTAATAGTTTTCATGATTTTTTTTGTTACGATTCTACATCATGTATACATTTGATCATTCCAATGTTTTGTTTACAATTTCTTCAGATGGTTTTTTGTGTATCTATTAATAATATTCTATTATGTGCATTATTATTTGTGTTTATGTGTGTTTAGAACAACAGTGAAAATCTCTTTTTTTTGCATCTATTTGTATAAATATTACAAACTAATAAATAATTCAATGTTATAAGATTTAAACTATATTTTATATTTTGTTAGATCTTTTTTGTCAATAGTTGTTCATATAAGACAAATATATGAAATGTATTGAATATTTCATACTTTATCAATCTAATGTTATTGCTAGAATGACACAATTTTAGATTCATTGTTTATGTCAAAGTAGATTTCTGCAGAACATATAAATCGCATTTAATTTTATCTTGACATGAATATCAATTATCGCATAGTATCTTAAGTATCCTCCAGTGGTAATAAACACCTTGCTAACATCTATAATGTAAATAAATTTAATCTATTTATCGAATTATTTAATGTTATAAGTCGATATTGATATTTATTCAAATAAAGCTATAGCTGTGACAGATACTATTGATATCATCGAAGAAATGTTCTATTTTAAGAGAAACGAAAATAAAATGTTAGATTATAAGTGCTGACTTTGCCTTTGAGTTGCATTAAGTAATGTTAATTTGCAGGCATTCATATTAGTATTAAAAAACTAATTTCATACTTTAGCATTAGTATCATGCTAATACCTATCATAGTTATCTCGCGTCACACAACAGTGGTATTTTGTTTGTCAAGAAAAGACGCACGGAAAATGATCAAAACACCAATTATATAAG